TGTTTTTCAGAGGTAATAAGTTTTAAAAAATTATTATTAACATTCTTCATAACACTTTGTTATATTTGCCGATTAATAGTTTTGTATCATGTGATTTTTTTTTACTTTTTTAGATACTTTCGATAACTTTTTTATTCATTGAAGTTAATAGAAATGTTCCATCCACAAAAAAAAATCATTGCCAAGAGCTGTCTAAAAAATAAATTTTTCTCATTTTTTTTCAATAAGATAAAAGAAGACAAACATACCTGCCGTAATTCAAGGGAAATTTCTACCTGTTACGATGAGTATAGTTGACTCACCTGGTTTTTATTTTAAAACAGAGTACGCAATATATATGTATTCAATTTTTTCTATGGTTGTTAATTCTTTTCCACTACGATTATTTAATAGTAATATTCATTTATTAAGAACATTTTTACATAAAATTATAGTTTGTACATCTAACTAGTTTTTACATGAAATTGATTTTGGCAACATTCAATTAAACATCCGCATAATGCCACACACGTCATGTTTAGTTTTTGACACGAACAAGCTTTCGTTGCACAATTTTTTTACAGTTGCACGGTTTTGCTAAGTCTTCAGGTAATGGCGGTTTTGTTAAATACAGTGGCTTTATTTGGTTATCACAGAAAACATAATCAAAACCAGAGAAATCTAAAGGTTCATATTGAAATTGATTTGAATTCCTCCAAATATAAGTCTGAAACGAAGCTCGTAAAGTATGCAATTTCAAAGCATCCGACGTGCATGGAAAACATTTTTTTTCCCTTATTTTTCTTAAATGGAGAAAGGCTTGGATATTTTGAAATCATAACATTTTATAACCCTAGTAAGCCTACTATGTTCATTGTAATAGGTAGAAAATTTTCACGAAACACGACAAGTGCATTTGGCCTTTTTATCGTATTGAAAAAAAAAAAGGTTGAAGAAGATTTTACTTCTCAGGCAGTATCTGACAATAATTTTTTCATGAATAAAAATAAATGTTAAAAATAAATGTTTCTGTTAACTTTAATAAATAAAAAGTTATCAAAAGTATCTAAAAAAGTAAAAAAAAATCACATGATACAAAACTATTAATCGGCAAATATAACAAAGTGTTATGAAAAATGTTAATAATAATTTTTTAAAACTTATTACCTCTGAAAAACAGCAAAAAATTGATTCAGCGCGTCATCGGGCTTTCTCTTACCCATCTTATACATTGAGTTGGAAGTAAGATAGAAGTACTTCTCTCTAAAAGTACACGCGCGTAGGAAGCATATTGTTATAACGTAAAAAAAAACAACAAAACAAAATTTTGAAAATTTATTTAGATTATTTTGTTTATTATAGTTTGAATATTCGGTAAAAAATTTAAAATTATAGCATTTTAAATTTTAAGGTATATTATTTAATTCAAAAAAATTAGATTTTTCGTCAATTTTGGATTTTAAAACATTCATAACAATTATAGGGTTAAAGATACGATGATGGGCGTAAGGACTTTTTTTATTCGAAATATCCCAAAGAATATAAAAAAAATTAATTCATTGCAAAAAATGCATTTTTTCTGGCTTAATTAATTTTTCGTTGTTTAAGCAATAACATCAACAGATATCGAGTGTGATCTTACACTTTTATAATCAGGAAAGCCTTCCGGACATTAAAAAAAAAATTACGAATTAAAACAATTTTGCAAACGAATGCGCAACTATGCCCTGCACTATACAGAATGAGATCCAAATTTCATTTTTTGTTTATTTTTTACCTACATGGCGGAAAGTTTGTGTTCCTTTTTACAGAATAAAATGGCTGGATCTTCTTATGACCAAAACGTTTTAATTAATACATATAAACACCATATTAATATTATTTATTATTTTATAACTTACCCAGACAGCACACCAAATCCTTTGGATATCTACTGAACATCCCAATATCCACTGAATGTCCAGTCCATGGTGGATATCTATTTTATATCCATGAAATGTAATTTATAGACATGCAAATGTCCATAAGTAATAGTAATTATATAGCAAATTATTAAAAAATTACGCCATTGTGCTCGCCACTGTGGCTAATAGTACCGTTCAGATATTTAAAATTAATTTTTTTAAGGTGTATTCAATATCCCGCATGGACATCCACTAAATATATCAACGTCTAGGCGCGAACGCAAACCATCGTGGATATCCACTAGATGTTATTTGATTTTGCTTACTAAGTATAGATGGCGATACCACTTTCGCATCTACTCATGCTCGACCTGCCGTAATTGAGTTCGATCGAAATTTGTGTCCTAATCAGACTCCATTAGAGACTGGAGTCGAGAATTTCCATTTATTGCTAAAGAGTCCTAATAAGGATGACTTTCTCCTTAGTGGGCAAAATCAAAGGCAGAGTGTTGAAAATATTTTGAGTGTTGAAAATATTTTTTATCTCTGCTATTTTCTTTCGACGTTATTCAATAATCATTGGTTACTTATGAACCTCTACTAAAGATATCCATAAAATATTTAGCTGAATATCCGAATATCTTCTATATCCTGGGATATAGACAGACAATTGGTTGGATATCCATATTGGATATATTGAATATCCACAAAATATATTCTGTGGATATCGCTGGGATTTCTTGTATTGTCTGTGGAAGATACCCATTACATATTTTGCTGGATATCCATTAGGATATCTTCTATATTCTGGATATAGACGGACATTTGGATATCCATATTAGATCCACGGAATATTTCTGATATCCTGTGGATATATTGGATATCCACAAAAGATATTCTCTGGGATTTGATGTGTTGTCTGGGTATACTTTTGTTGCTTTTATGTGCACAACACATGGTTATTATAACTTTAACTGTATAAGTTTAATTTGCATGTATCATATTTATTACCACTACATTATAACTTAATGATATGTGTATTATATAAGTTATATCAAAACTCAAAACTCGTTTACCACTGAGTTATAACCACTGATCTGTATTATTTTACTGGATAGGATATAAGCTATATTTAACATACTAAAAATTCGTTCCACCAAGGAGACCGGAAGTGCAACACTGCTGGCCGATTTGGGCAAATTATGGTGAGATCACAGAACTGAATTTTGGGATAATTTGACATATCTAACCTATAATTTGATTAGTTTTTCTTCTTATTCTTCTTCTATTCCTTCTGCGAGCAATGTCCATCGGGACAAATCAACCATAATTTGATTTTTTTATGAAAGAAAATATAAAAATGGAAACGTAAAGCAAATTGTGTTTATATCATAATAATGCTATCCGATACTACCTAAATAAATAAAAAAAACATCTCATCGTAATTTGTTGACACAATTAAATGACAAATGTGATGACAAATGGAAATAGAGGTTATGTTAAATAACATCCGGTCCGCCATATTATTTGCCCAAATCGGCCAATTTTTCGGAACGTTTTTTAGGGGGCTATATCCTATCCAGTAAAATAATACAGATCAGTGGTTATAACTGTCAAAAAATAAAAACATTTTTATAGGTTATGTAATCATTTAGGAGTATTTCAATCATTTCTAATATTGGTTTGCAAGGATTAATAAAGAAAGGATCAAATTAAAAGTACTTATTGTTTGCAAAACATGGTTTTAATCCATAGGGTTTTTAAATAATAATTTACCATTGGGTTCTGGTCCCATAAAAACTATGTTCATTTTTCTAGGAGTTTGCAATAAGGTTCTTGCATCTTTTGGTAGTTGTTTAATTTTAATTGTGCATATAATTTATTCTCACTAATTTATTTACAATTTTATGTGGTAAGTAACCTACTTTATTTTTTGTTATTGCCCATACTTTTAGTTGTTGGTCCCTATTTTCATGTCAATTTCTATGTTGCAATATTTCGTGGTCTTTTTTAGTTTCTTTTTATAACTATCTTAGAAATTATTGCAAGAAGCACAATTCCGAATATTACTGTTGAAAACAACGGATGGTTTTATTGTATAAGTACTGCTGCGGATCCATGTTTGAAATGTTCTCAAAATTTTTTATTTCTTGAATTACTTTGTTGCGTCCAGTTTAAATAGTTTTTTTACATTTATACAAGATAATTCTCTTCTAAAATTTATAAAGCAGTTACTCCTAACCTCAGAAAGATAATAATACATTCTAGGAGTATAATAATATACACATTTAACCATATACAACTTCTGTAATAACGGTGTATTATATAATTTAAAACAAAAGAACCCGGAAGCAGTTTGTATTAGTTTTTTAACCATATAATAATTTTCTGGATAAACCTAATAGTAACTACAGTTTACAACTGTATTATTAAGTGAATATGTATGTATTTAAAGTAGTTGTAATTTAAAAGGTATAGAAACGTTATAACAACTACATATATTGTACATTTTAAAACAACTTAATTTAGTTATACGTTTCTTATAAATTAACGTTGTTACAACTCTAGTTAAATATTGCTCAACAACTTCTAACAAAAACGTTGTAGTATTAGTTTCTACACTATTAAAAAGCTGTATATCAGTTATAAAAATTTAGGTAATTTAACGTGTCGTTTACGTGTGTTTTGTAACGTTTTAATCAATTATACCAACATTTTATAACTTTGTGTGTTACTTGGGGGTTAATCGGCCATGACACATGTAATCAATTATTTCCCCGTGTTAAAGTTTATAAAAAAATATGATACATGTGTTTAATTATTAAAATTATAACATTAATGATACACGTGTAAAGAACCGCTAGTCAAAGTCTATAAAGTACGCATAGATTGGAACTAATTTGACAGAATATTTATTAGACAATTAAAAAATAATGCAGGTCGATTTTATTTTTTAGCTCTTTTATTACAACCATGTTAAAAATAAAAAGTTTTTATGGATGATGTGCAATGGAATTTTCTATACATAAACACGACCTGTCTAAGTATTTTACTGGTCTAATAAAGATTTTACCGATTTTGTTCAAACACTGTATACTAATTAAAGCTATTTTTTAGGTAAATTTCAAAAACTTGAAGAAAACTTCTGTTTAAACTCATATTTTCAATTTGTTACAATTAAATTGTTAAATAAATTAAATAATAATAATAAAAAATATTTTATTGTTAATGAACAAATGTATAAAAAGGATATATTTATGAAGTTTCATTTCTTATAAGAAGTTTAATGAGCCAACAAATTAGATTCTCTAACAAGCTTATTTTTGTGTAGAGCAAATATTTAAAAAATCTTGAGAAAGTGCCCAGGATGTTGGTGAATAAAGTCGTCTTGTTGATTTCATGGACTGTAAAGACGTAAAATGTGGTTTGGGTTTTAAAACGTCTTCAGGAGCTAAAAAAAAAATAAATATCACTACGGGAAATCTTACTGCATTATTGACGTTTTCCGCACACTGACATTAAAGAGTTGAAGTGTTTCCAGTACATTAACCTAAACGTCAACGCACAAAAATAATGTTTACGGTGAAGTCCAAAATATGAGTTGAAGTTGTTAAACGCAACGTGACATTTTAGTGCCGTGAGAGATACTGAAAAGTAATATTAGGATTACTTATTTCCCAATTAAGAAGAGGTTATTTTAATCGCGTGAGGTGTACACGCCAGAGCCCGTAAGCTTACGAATGAACGTAGACGTGAACGATATTTGAATACGCATGCATAGATGTCAGTTTACGTTCGTAGCATCACTTCAACTCTCTATTAACTGGCATGACAAAATTAATACGACTGCCCAATTTTAATTAGACATAATATCGATGGCTCAATCAAATACTGCCACAACTAATATGCTATTGTTTTGAGAAATTTTGTTTAAAAATTTTGTAAGCCTCTATTATCATTATTTTGTTTTCGGCATAAACTCTTTATATTTTATTTAAAAGCTAAGACATTTTGCTGTTAAAATTAACGATTACGATTATAAAAGCACCTTAACTTGAGTTATTGCTAAGTTTGTAAAAAAATTTGGTATTTTTGCAGAAAATAACCCGAATTGAGGCAGTTTTAGATACATTTTGTGGCTGGATTTTAAATCATTTTCAGGAATCTCTAAGAATATTTTGGTTTGTGGCGGTATTTAAAATAAAATCTCAATGATATTTTGCATCCATTAAACCAAAAATGTATTTTCTTTTTTGACTTGATGCGGTTTTTGATTGAGCCATCGTATATATAGTTTATAAAATTAGAGGAAAGTACGAAGAGGCGATCTCCAAGCCCTAAACACACGATCAACAGCTGTCTTATTAAAACCCGGAAAACTGTGATCGTTCCCTTCACCAAGAGAAGAAAACTCCTTCGACAACCTATCTTGGTCCGAGGAAACCATTTATTTTGCGGAGGAAGTGAAATATCTGTGGATTATCCAAGATAAGAAACTCTCCTGGAACCCCCAATTAGAAAAAAAACATCAACAAAGCCAAATTTTGTAACATAAGCCTCTGGACCCTCAGAAGGATATGCGGCAAAGACAAAGGCGTTTATACCCAACCCTTCCATGAACGCCTCTACTTAGATCCAGTTATGGAGTAGAACAGATCTATGCATTCTTACAGGACTAATGACAGGACATTGTTGTCCAGGTAACCGCATAAGGATAGGTCTGCAACAAAGAACTAGGTTCCAGATCTTCGAATTCACCCGACTGGAGCCTACTGACTTTAAACAAGTCTTACCTAATTCAACCATGGTCTTCATTAAAAGATGTGCTCTGTACGGTGAACTATAAGTTAGACATGAGCCACGTTAGATCCATCCGGGTCGAAGTGGAAGGCGATGAGATCATCCCACTTATTTTCAACCTACCCTAGCCTTACTTCTCGGGTACAGATATATAACTAGGCATTTCAACGACCTGTCAAACAATAGCTGCCAGTGGGAAGGGCTCATATTGCAACATAAATTTCCATGTTGAACGCTATTTTTATTCGAAATAGTAGTCGCCAAGCCTGCCAATTTATGAACGTATAAGCATTTTTTTTAAATAATATTTTCATTAGGTTCGACATAAAATATTTGAATTTAATCCATTATTCATGATTAAACGTATTGTAGATACAATACATCGTATTATACCAACCCTTCCCAACAACAGTTCTTTGGTTTCTAAACAAACAGTAACATATCCATGAAAAGTTTACTGTGAACCCTACATCATAACTTTTAACACGGATTAAAACTCAATACATTACGCCTTTCTCGTGGTGAAAAACATGTAAATTGAACATTATGGTTGTAGGCAAATAAATGGTATTTAGTAAATAAAAATAAATTTCTACCATATGTGCACATCGTACATAGATCTTAAACTAAATTAAACCCTAGTTGTAAACAATATACCTACTAGTGATAAAGTAGGCAATAAACTCTAGGCAATACTTCAAATGAAATGTCATTTGATAGTTCTTAAAAATTTTTGCCTGAATAATGAATAGATAATTACAATAAGTGAATTTCAACTTAATTTGTATAGTTATAAAATCGTTAAATACTTTGAATATGAAATAAACGTCTTTGTTTTGGTTTTAACATTGACTTTTTCATAATTTTTTGAAAAAAATGAGATTATAGAAAAAATATTGTTTGCAATTAGAGCAAAAAGTTCGTTGCCGGCAAAGTATCAATGTCCGCTCTAATATACAAATAGCTATTGTGATTTTTAAATAACTTACAGCAAAAGCTTTTGTAAGGTTTCATCCAGTTTCTAGCTAATGATTTAACGTCGATTACATGTTTTGATGAACCGCTGATTTCTAAAGTATTTCCTAAAACAAAAAACCAAATAAATGTCCAGCATTGATTCCATAAAAATATACTTTACCTACTTCAGAAGGTTTTTTAAAAGTTGAATTGGAAATTTTTGTTGATGAAATGGGATCATTTATTCCTGGTTTGACCGGAACTAAAAAAAAATATGAAACAAAATTAACGTTTTCAATAAATTATTGTTTGTCCGAACATTTAGTTGTTAGGGCTCCTAGAAGTCATTTATAAAATTTAAAAATATACACTTAAACTAAAATCATTTAATAGTATAACCTTTTTCCACGGCATGAAGCTTTAAAAAAATAGAATTCTCATGAACATTAAAGTCAGTGCAATACTTGTATACAAATTGAATCCAAAGTTAATACTTTTTTAACTGTGTATAAAAGCCTTTAAATAAATATATTTTTCCAATAATTATTTCATTAAACTCAAAAATAAGATACAGAATTAAAAAATCTGAATCTGTGCCTGGACTTGAGTATGAAAAGTAGTTAATTAATAAATCGTTATCGTTTTTTTTTTTTTTCAATCACGATTCATTGTGTAGAGGTTATTGTAATTGAGTCGTGTGTGTAATTTCAGTAGTGTGTTTATCTGAAGTACCTAGTGAATTTAAATTGTTCAGTACTACGATAAATTGAAAATTAATTGCATTTAAAAAAAAAACACATTTTATATGTTATCCAACAACAAATATGCAGGTAAGGTAAAGAAAAGTGTGGATAACATTGCGAAAAGCTCAATTGTTAACTGAGAGTAGTAGAAAATAGTGAATGCATATTCTGTAAGGAGGAAGACGAAACCTCCAATCACATTTCGACTGAATTTTTAGCACTCCAGAAGCCAAGGGCACTATCATATTAAATAGAAGAGGGAGATTTACCTAACTTGTAGCCACTCCATTCCTTGAGAATATAGGACTGGAAGGGTCGTTATAGACATCGAGCCATTTCTTTGATACATTAGTAACAGCAGGGGGCACAATAGATCTTTTAGGTCGAAGTGTATTAACACACCCCATTCCAATCATAAGATCCCTTTCACGTCTTTATTAAAAGCTTCCTTTAAATAAAGACCTAATGATCTAATCAGAGATAACAGAGATATAGCCATTCATTGATAAAATATATAATATTCACGATGCCAAGATTAAGTCGACAATCATAACACTATTTGTAGGTGAGCAGTGAGAAGACGAAAGGTGAGAGGTAAAAGAGGGATAAAGGGAGTGTAAGCCGCTGTGCGCTTATAATAAACAACGTAAATATCCATGCCGGTGTAAGCCCTGTTGCCACTTCCAACCCAACATGACTAGGTTTTGGAATTTATTGAAATTTATTACATCTAATTTAGTGAAATTGCATCTAATTTAGTTAAATTTGATATAACTAATGATTCAAAATTTTTTGGGTTCAATTGCAATAAAATAGGTTGAATTATTTTAGCTTTTTTAATATATGTAAATAATTTTGCAAACAAAACGAGAATAATGAAATAGGAATATGTCCCTTAGAATATGTCTTATTCAGGGCCGCACGATATTTGTTAGTAGTTACATCTCCTGTTATCTCTGAATCCAATTCATTTTTTTCTTCCATCTAAATGAAACAGTTTTTTTGCTTCTCCTGTAAAATTATTACGTATGGAGTTAAAAGGTTTACATGTTAAGGTAACGATGTTCAATTTCTGTAACTTGAAGATTTCCCCTACAGAATGAGAGTTTATTATATTCGAGTTTTTTTTTAAAGTTGTTTATTTTAATGGCTTTTATAAACAGTTAAAAAAGTATCAACTTATGATTCACCCTGTATAAGCATATACAGTGTGTGCCATAAAGTTGAATCCATATGGGATTTTTTTTAATATTAGGATGGAAAAAAAATCGCGTAGAGCAATCACCTCTGCTTATTTAAAAACTTAAAATAGCCCATACCAAATTTGGCTACTGATATTAGTTTTCTATCAAATTCGCATTAAAAAAAAATTGAACGGTTTTTTAAAAAAAAATTAGGTGCCCCATTTTCGCATACAAGCCTCGAAGAGGGTTGAAAAGTACATCGATTTTAAGTAGAATGAAAGGAAATTTACAAGTGGCTGCTGGGGACAACTCATGGAAAATTCGATTTTCCCCAACAAAAACGAAAGGTTATTTGTTGCTCATTTTTCCACGCAAGCCGTTTTCACTATATGATTAATTAATAGAACTAGGCTTCGGAAAACCAAAGGCTTTAATGTTGCAAGTGGCTAAAGGGTTGAAATAAGGGCGTAACTTTCTAAGGAAAAATCGAGATTTTGCCCGATTTTTGCACACTAGCCTATCGAATGTATGAAAATGTACGTCGTCACTAGTCCGAAAAATATATTTTCTTGAATGACCCGAATGTATAAGTGCATTTTGGGGTCGGAAAATTTTTCTGATAAGGAAAATCGAATTTTCCATGTGTTATCCCCAAGAGCCATTCGTAAATTTTCTTTTATTCTACTCAATATCGACGTACTTTACAACCCTCTTCGAGGCTGGTATGCGAAAATGGGACATCTAAATTGGTCACTATCTGACGGTATATTACTAATATTTTAAAATGTTATATTTACTAGTCTAATCCAAATATAATCGAACATACTTCTTTTAGATCCTTTTTTGTTGCCTGATTTTTTTCTGCATTCATTTCTGCTTTTCTTTTTCCTAAAATTATAAGGACAATAATTAAATGTGATTTATTTAAAATTAACATGAAAGGAACCAAAAGAGGTTACACAAAACTAACACTTGGACAAAAAACCTTATATTTTATTAAAAATAAGGCAAAAATTTAATAGCATTTTTTTATATTGCTGTCAATAACTTAGGGTGTTGTTTCGTTCATTATGTTTAATTGTCTAATATTTCATAAAATTAAAATTTACCATTTCAAATTTAACATTTTTTTTTATTATTAATTTAACGTCGGCGTATTTCTAACTACAAGGTTTAAACATCGACGCTGTGTAAGCACGCTATCCCCAGTTACCAGAAATTTAGCCCAATCCCCTGATGTTCCAACCAGAGGTAAGGATCTTTAATAAGCCCAGCATTCATGAACTTGAGCCCGACAACTCCTCCAAAAAGATGGCACACCCCACGCTATACCGCGTACTCATTATTGATAAAACGCCTGCCTGCTGCGGTATGCTACTAAGCTAACAGTTTGTTCGGACGTACACCGACTTTCATTGAAATAGTCACTCATCCAACTACTGACTGCGTTGGGCCTGGATTGACTGCAGGTATCGATACAAAATAAGTGAACCTGCTAAACCGGGTCGCTGTCCATCAAATTTAACATGAGAGAGTAAATAAATTATATATAGATTTAGATTTAAGTAAAATCTTCATCTTCAAATGTCACATTGAATATTTACATATCATATATTGCATGCATTTAAATGGTTTTTGGTGTTTTGATCTGAAATGCTCTTCAACTTTAAACGCATAAATAATAACCATTAAGAATTAGTTTGGTAAAGTCATAAAACAGCTTCTAGGTACCATATTTTCTTAAAAACCTAATAATATACAAACCTTGTAGGTGAAGAGTATCTTGCATCATTAGAGATATAACTAATGTCACCTAATGCATCTGCCTCGTTTATATTTAATGAACGTCTTGTAATAAATTTTTCACAACTTTTAACAATATCTTTCAAATCTCCGACTTCATCTAAAATGAAAACATGTACAATTTACATCATACAAAGAATTATTGGGATCCTTAATGAACTATATGAATTTTTGCTTAAGTGAAAAATTAGATAACTAGGTTAATAAAAAAATTGAAGGTGTTAAATGCATAAATTTCATGTTATTTAAATTGTACACACCCTTGAACTGTTGCACCTAACCGAGGTTTTTTAATCAGGCCTTTTATTAAATAGTTATAATAATATGGAATTAAATCTGACAGAATATTGTTAACCATGGAGGCACTTGTTCGATGGCAGCTGCAAGCGGCTGAGAAAAGATGAGCACTACCGTTCTAATGAAATTAAATTATAGGAGACATTTATTAAGCTAGCTGCAGCTGTCTAGTCCATTGAACGGCACCTTATTTTATTTCATTAGAACGGTAGTGTAGCTGCACCTTGTCATGGCTGATGCAGCTGCAGCATGTCTGCAGCGACCATCGATCGAGTACCTTTAACCAGAATAGAATTTTAATGCATAATTTCTAATGAAATACATGATCAAATGAATATGAGTTTTATGTATGTCAGCTGTAAGACATTTTTATTACAATGGGCCATGAATAGCTATGTGCAATTTTATCTACTGTGGCATTTATTATAGCAGATATTTTGTTTTAAATTGAATATTCAACATAAATATAATCGATTATAATTACTCAATCTGTCAGTCTTTTAGTGAATATTGGTTAGTACACTTTATAAAATTTCTGAAAGTCTTAAAAAAAACTATTTTCAAATTCTTGTATGTTTCAAAACAAATATTGGCTTATTTGTAAGTATAAGTAATGACACCTACAACACAAGGATCACACATCGGAACAGTAGCATAGGTGCCTAAGGTGCTCACATTCATTTGCAAGCCATTATTGTGACAAGAGACACACTTGCTTTGAATCCTACAGAAGACCATGTGAATTTATTTGCATGATTCTCTATAGGATTTGATGGATGCCATATTAGCAGAAATTTTATTTCTGTTGATATGACATCCAGATTATAAAAATCGCCATGCGTTACCTTTTCGATGATGGTGGGTGGTGTTTTCCTCACCTGTAAGTCAGATGGCACCAATCATCTTTAAGTCGCTCCGGAGCGCTACGGCCAATAATAATAGCCGTCCCTTCTTTTATACAAGTTGCTCATTCGGCTTAAGGGGTTGAAATTCACTCATAAGGGAGTGAATTAGGACTATTATTATTATTATTATTATTATTATTACACCAGTTTTAGAAATAACAAAAATATAGGTGGCTCAGTGGTAGAGCCTCTGCCTGTGGATCCAAGGGTCCCAGGTTCGAATCCCACCGTTGGCAGGAATTTTTTCGTTTAATTTAATTATTTAAAATTAATTCTGATGCCTTGGTAGGATTCCCCACTCGACCATTCACTGTTGGGTTCTAATTAACAGTGCTGTTCCCAAAGTGGCGCTGGGAAACAGTAACAAAGCCTGCACAGAACACGAGGCGAAATAACCTTAGTAGTTGAAGCCGACGACACAAAAAAAAATATATGGATATCTAAAGTGTACAACAACCTATTTTGAAGTCTAGATAATTTAACTTATTAACAATTGTTATCTTGTTTCTTAATATTTAATTTTTTCTTGTTTATGTTTATGTTAATTTTATGGTAATTTGTATTTCTTTGTTTCAACATTCTCTAAGTGTAGGTTAGGTTTGAAATTTTCTCTTTTATTAAACTTGTATTTTGTATTTTAATTGGATAATTGCTCGTTGTTAAATAAATAAAATCAGAAAAGGATTTGGAAAAGATCAACAAAGTGACCCAGACCTAGGGTTGCCACCTGTCCTTTTTTTAATCAAAATGTCCTTGCAACTTTTTAAAGCTTAAAATGTAATTTTTTATGGCATATGTCCTGTTTTACTCTTTGATATCTTTGAAAGGTACCTGGGTTGTACAAAAATATACAAGATGAGAAGCTTTTTTTTAGAAGCTCTGTAGAAGGATGAGGATCTTTTGTATACCAGATCCCCTATCAGCATCATTGTCCTTTATTCACTTTTCAAAAAGGTGGCAACCCTACGCAGACCTACTTAAAAAAAATAGAATATAATCTTTTCACCTCTGAGTAAAGTTGAAAATAACTATTTGCTGATTAAACTATAGGGCTATTGTTTATTAATCTGTCAAGTAAACCCACATGTAACTTTACTTAGAGGTGAAAAGATCAGCCCTAAGTAAGTTATACTATATGCTAAAAGTAGGCAAATATTTAATTCAATAATAGTACAAATTTGTTTTTATTTTAATTGCAGTTAGATCAACCTTTTGCTTATCTATAACAGACTTAGTTTTTTTTTTTAATGCACTGCAAAATATCAAAATATGCTATATACAAATAATAACGGTTTGAATTCTGTAGGCTGAAATTATTTTATATACTTGTTTTTTTTTTATTTCCATCAGTTGTTTGTCAATTCTTAAAACGTTAATATTCATTTTGTTTATTAAGTCTTGGAAATACCCCAAGTTCATTCGCTTTCTTTATTGTTCAATGTAAAATTGATAAAACAAAAAGTTACTAGATTTTGGCATGTCATAGATCAATTACATCATGTTCAGAGATAAGGGAGATAAATCTCTGATCATGTTATTATGTCAGGTGGCAGTTATCAAAATAATTTTGAATTGTTTAATATGTTAAAAATTTGATATTTCAAAAGTTTTTATAAGTATTCAACAAAATGGTGAAACGAATTAGGGATCAATCAAAAACTTCTAAATGTAGTTTCATATTTTAAGAAACACAAATCTATTTGCAAGGCTTTTGGAAAAAGGTACAATCAAATGGCTGCAGAGGCATTAAATATTTCACAGAAAACTATCTATAGATGTAGTAAACCAACAAATTCTGATAACAAAGTGCAACTGAAATAAGAAGACACATGTCTCTCGAGCCTAAATGTTTTTTGATATTTTCAATGTTCTATTGTAGTTTTGATTAACTTATTCTTATAGCATATTGCTTGAGGATTCCATTTATGTATGATAAAACTCAGTGCCGTTAATTTTTTATTAAAAAACAATATGTTTGTTGTGTTAGGTATTATTCAGGCACACAAACCTAATAATTTCAACAATTTCGATTGATGTGTAGCCTATTACTTGAGGAATCTATTTATGTATGATTTAACCCAGCGCCGATAATTTTACGTTAAAAAAAATTTGAATATACATTTAAAGTTTTTTTTAAAAGTACCTATATTCATTTCGTTTTTACTAATATTTATTTTTCCAAATACGGATAACCTCCCTTTGTTATTATCATTATTAGTGTTATTATTACTAATATTATTATAATAAGACAAATTAAGTAGTAAAATTGCTTTATTTTGTGATATCTAACTTGTTCTATCACTTTACTTGACTTGTTTTATAAATAAAGCTATTGCTGATGCTGCTTACATTTCCCTTTATACATAAAATAGCAAAAAAAGTGTGTGTGTGTGTGTGTGTGTATGTGTAATGCACCTAAATATGTTAGTATACTTGTCTCCAAAAGCTTAAAGTAATAGATCAATTTGTAGGGAATTTCAGGGTTGTTAAAACGGACATTCATGTACAGACATACCTGCATTTAACTTAGAACATTGGTTGATTAATCTATAAAGCGCTTTTTCGGGTGTTAGTAAGTCACATTGAACTTCAACATCACGATATTTATCTTTAACTGGTATTGTTGTGCTTTGACCTGTTAATTTATTGCATTCAATTGCTTTCGGACATTTATTTTTAACTGGTTGGATGGAGCCAAAAATTAGTTCACCGAATTGTCTTTCCTCGTCAGAGTCTGAAAATACTGGTTCTTCGTCAAGCATAAGCGTACTTGAAGTAACTCTCCTCTTTTTTCGAAATTGATCACAATCATTTTGCGGCTTTCTAAGTTGAATATCTTGTATTATTTTAATTTGCTTAGCCGACGGTGCCGTAAACATGTTTACCATTAATTTAAGATTAATTCGTGTCTTCTATATATCTTCACTCTAAGAAAATAAAATCACCTGTCGAAATTTAAAGAAACCATTCGAAATTTAAAAAACTGTAGATATGGAAGAATAAACAAAATTTTAAAAAGTACTTTTTGTCAACTGTCAACTTTTTTTTGGGGTTTGACGTTTGGCTTCTTGACACAAAACACACTAGAGGCATGAAACAACAAAAAAATTGTTTGACGTTCTCCATTGGCGTATCAAGTAGTTTTTCATCAGAATATAAAGGATTGCTTTTTAACTATTATAAAGAACAAAGGACCATAGAAAAACTAAAAAGAGAAGGTTTGAATAATAGGCGGGAATTGTTTCCTTGTTTGTAGTTTACAAAGAAGTAGAGAGGGTAGAACGATAAAGTACCGTCTGCGCATCCATTACGAGTGTAGAAATTATTCGTGATTCAACCTTCCACTCTTATACATGTAAATGACAAGGAGAGGTTGCCCTAAAGCACTGTAAACAAATTCCAGGATTGGCTCTGTTCAGCGATTATGTTCAGGTTCAGCTCTGTTTTTGTTTGTTTTGTGGCTGTTGTAAGCTTTTTTGGCGTCAATTCTTTGTTATCTTGCGCATATTTGTGATTTTTTGTGCTTTTATTTTAATTTAGTATTGAATTATACTTGTTAATTATTTTCCGTTGTACTATTTTATAGTTGTTGCACAAAATGTTGTTAAACCGTCCCTGAATCTTGTTTACAAAATGTGCAAAACGAAATTGTGCATAGTGTCTAGACTTTTTCATTGACAGTTATCATTCTACCCCTCTCCACTTCATTGGTAGTTTATCAGGTCTGTTCTGGTTTTGAGAAATAACGATCCACAACTGTCGGGCTCATGCGCAGTAGATAAAAAGTGTTTTGGTTTTTCTGGGACTACTTCGGATCTCTCAGTCCAGTGTTCTGGTTTCGTATCCGAAATAATCCGTGATTGTTGTAAATAGTCAAAATGTGTTCATGCTTGGGAGTGTGGATCGACTCGGACTGTTTTGACCGCGCATGCGTTTTTTAAGTGTTATGAATATTGTATTGGCTTTTTAGACCATACCAATGAACTGGAGTGGGGTAGAATGCTTGTCAATAGGCTTGAGATGCGACTCTATGGGCAAAGACAGGTTATTTTTCATCTCACTCGGAAGTATTTATAACAACCATTTTCTATTTCACTTTGTTATTGTCTGATCCACCAGCTTGTGGATTGAACAATAACAATATGAAACAGAAAATGGTTATTATAAATACTCCCGAGTGAGATGAGAAATAAAAATGGCTGCGCCCATAGAGTCGCATCTTGTTTTATGATACAATAATGCACATTGGCTTTCTACCCCACTCCAGTTCATTGGACCATACGGAACGTATGCAATCCCAAATTATTTATTTATATGTGGACGAATGTCTCTTGTTCTGTTTTATTTGTAAATTAAAGCAATTTTAGAATTATTAATTTTTTAATATTATTCTGTTTTTATTTATTCCATTGAAATGTGATGATAATGATAAAAATATACATGCAAATGTTATTTGAAGCTGAGCTTTCAAAAGGAACTTTATTATTATAATAAACAATAAACAAAACACCTTTATGTGTTCTGGTTTTCCAATTAGGCATTCCAAACTGAATGGCTACCAGTGGGTTTTGACGGGTTATGATATGGCAAAATTATGGCAACCCTGTAGGCCTGGTGATTTGACAAGGTCAATGAAATAGATAGTTACATAGATTGATCATCCATATTTTTCAAAATAAACATAAGCTTATGCCTTGAAGTAAAAATGTAAGCAATTATTTTTTTTTAAATATCTAAAGGCTAAAAATTGGTTTTAAAACACATTTTTGCTAAACCGATTCAAATTAATAAATTTTTGCCAGGCAATATGGCCGCTCGTAAAGGACCAGCTTTGAGCAATCTATATAACTATATATGTATCACTGACCCTGTTAATGACAACATGACAACAGGGTTGCCATATCTAAACTGTCATTACCCACTGGTAGCCATTTGGACAAGTTGTTGGAATGCCTAATAACAATTTCAAACAGTCGGGGATTTTTTGCCTTTACGCATACGGTCCGGCGCAGTTTCAAAACAGTTTTCATTTTGAGAACCAGAACAAACCCTTATCGCGCTTCACGCGCTGCGAGCACTAAATAAAAGCCGTTTTTACACCCATATGATAATTAAAAAATGAATAAATTTTAAAGAAATCAATAATTTTACTAATGCAATCTTTTAAATATCACTTTAATACAATATAATGATCAAATACAGGGATAATTGTTATAAATTTATAAAGTTAAAGCTACATTTGAATATTATGAGGTGGTGTAAATCTGGCTTTGCTAATAAATTAGGTTATGTTACACTAAAACATGACAGTCGTGGAAAATGTAGGTGAGTAAAATTTAATTAATCTTATTTTTAATTTAGTTTTAGTTAAATTTAAGTAATTTATAGGTGTAAAAATATACTGAGGTCCTTAACGATGTCATTAACTTATAATAAATTCACATTATCATGTGCTGCTCCAAATTGCAGAAGCAAATATTATTTACATTCACTTAATAAGAAATTTTTTACTTTTCCGTCCATTATTACCCTTAGAGAGAAATGGTTTGATATTTTAAATATTCCCTACACATCTAAAAAAAACTATAGTGCGAGGATCATTTTGACGAGAATGCCTTCACCAGCACTTTGCCTACTAAGCTCATTAAATTTGCCTTGCCTTTAGCGCCTTTAGAAGAGAATATTACTACTAATAATAATATTACATTAGATGAAAATTTTTCAAAGCTACCTTCATCAAATTCTCTTGCAAAAATAAATGTAATTAGTAATGTTTTGATTAAACCTTCTGTTTCGAATATAACTTCAGCTAAAAGAAAGCTAGATTTTTTTAATGATAGAATTGAATGTGTTGAGGAACCTTTAATAAAGAAACCACGTGTAAGAACTGGTATTTTAAATCAAATTAATGCAACTACAATTGGTAATTTAACTCCTAGAAAGAGAAAATTTTATTATATTAATCGAGAGCAGCAAAACTAAATTTCAAGATTAAAAAATAGTTTATTAAAATCTAAAAATACAATTTAGACTGCTTTAAAATTATCAGAAACAAGTTTATTTAAAAATTTTAGTTTAATTTTAAGATACACACTGCGCCTTTATTTTTTTTTTGCTTTAGTTATTCCTGAGTATGGAGATTTTTGGAATGGATATTGCAACTACAATGAACCGAAATAGATGGGTGAAGGGATAGTAAAGTGGTTTAGTGCCAGAGTTACCTAACCAACAAAATTTCAAAACAACTGGTCTTTGTTATTGTTTTAAAATCATTTCTATACATGCCAAAGTTACCTATTCCTTAAAATTATGTAGTTCATGACAAAATTAAATACTTATTTGACAAGTGACTATTTTTAAATTTTTCTTAAACTTTGATCTCAACTTAATTATTTTTTAGCAACTCTGGCACTGGAACACCCAATAGAGCTTAAGAATAATAAAAAAATTTCAGGTAGTAAACTCAATTTATTTTTAATGTGTACTTTTTGTGATAATGTGTAATTTTGTGATATTAGGTAATTTTATAGATATAAAATAATAATATTAATAACAATAATAATCGTGATTAGTGTAAACGTATATTTTTAAATTAACTTCAACCCTTGAACATTTTTCAACATATTGTGAATATGATGTTTAATATAATGTAATGATATAGTTACCTATTCTAAATAAAATAAACTTATTACAAATGTTTTTATTTTTCATTTAAAACAAGTGACATTTTCCGTTTTTCAGCATTTACTTACAATAAAAATTCATTTTACTTATTGATTGTTTCAATTATTGTAAGTAAAAGCTGTAAAATAGGAAAATGTTACTTGAAATTACTTCAAATTTCATAAATTTTAAAGCCCGCCATTTTTTAAATCGCTTTACCTAGTAGTTTTCTACTTTACCGACTGTACCGAATTATAGTTCATCATAACGCGCTCAGCGCGCCACTGTCGAGGTCAAACAAACTTGTTACCAACTATTTACAGGGGAACTGGCTACCCTGCAAAGGACGAGGCACGGATTACATGGAGTTATGGACCGCCGTAAATATTTTCCATATTTTTCTTTTTTGAAGATACTTTAGGCATTTCTTTATAAGCTTACTACAACATACTTGGTTACAGTATTGTGGTTACTGTGATGACATTACGCATACCATGGTTTCCCTATTATTGAATGTCATATGTCAAATTTAATTTAAGTTTGGGGATTTCTAAACGAAATTTGTATTTTAGAAATTTTGACTTTGTTATTTTTTATTATAGTATGTTCTAGTAAGCTTATAAATAAAGGCATTTCTTTATAAGCTTGCCACGACATACTTCGTAACAGCGTTGTGGTTACTTTGATGACGTCAGACATACCGTGGTAACTCGTAGCACTTGTCGTTGTCACATGTCAAATTAGGGATTTGTTTACTTTGTTTTTGTTCAGGGGGGCTATTTTCAAAGTATGGGAGCACTCATTTCTCTCAAGATTCTCATCAGAAATGTCATACGTCAATGTGGAAACGCTGTTTTTAAAGGCCTCGAGGATTAAAATTCTTATGAGGATATTAATTATCTCTAAATAAACCGTGAGAAACAATCAGTGAGTTCACACTGGCCCTTAGGACCCTAAAAATACTGTTTTACGTTGACGTATGACATTTCTCTCGAGAGAAATGAATTCTCTCGACTTTGAAAATAGCCCCCCTGGGGGGCTATTTTCAAAGTATGGGAGCACTCATTTCTCTCAAGATTCTCATCAGAAATGTCATACATCAATGTGGAAATGTTGTTTTTAAAGGCATCGAGGATTAAAATTCTTAGGAAGATTTTAATTATCTCTAAATAAACCAAGAGGAACAGTCAGTGAGTTAACACTGGCCCTAAGAGCCCTAAAAATACGGTTTTACGTTGACGTATGACATTTCTCTTGAGAGAAATGAATTCTCTCGAGTTTGAAAATAGCCTCCCGGATAAATAAAAGTGTTTTTGTCACAGACGTCATTTGGTTTTCGTTCTTTTGTTATTTATTTAAATATGTCTCCTCCAACAAAAGGAAGTAAAAAAATTAA